ACCACATACAGGCACGCACTCAGACCCAACACAACCCACTCAACAGGCAGGGGACTTAGTACGGCATGCATTCCACGAGCAAACTCAGAAATCAGCTGTCTGTTACAGTCCGTGTGATGACGGGTCATTACAAAATAAACAAAGTTCAGAAGACAGAAGGACCTCAGCAGTTTATTGTTTGTGATGGTTTTTGTTTGCGCCTAAGTCTTGCCCCATGCGGCTCACACACACATACACACACACACACACACACACACACACACACACACACACACACACACACACACACGGATGCATAAGGAACGAACGAAAACCTACACGGCGAAACAAATACCAATCCACAGGACCAGGGGTGACCCTCTAACGCAGTGTATTCGTGTGCCTCTACTGTTTTCTGTGTGGGGCTGTTTGTGCCCTCTTCTGCGCTGGCTCATTGTGCATGCAGTGACACGGCGGAGGTGGACATTAAGTCGGCGACGGTAAACTCTGGCGGATGTGCAATGAGCAGCAGTGCGGACGGTCCCACATGGGACACAATCAAGTGCGCCAACAAGTTCAGCACCGTTCAGGACTGGATCCACAAGAGGAACCTTCAGGATGACGCGCCATGGTTCTTGAACAAGTACATCAAGATCAACATCTCGGCTGTGCAGTACACGGGAGGATGGGGTAATTACATCGGAGGGAAGGACCGGGACTGTGTCATGATCAAGACATCTAGCGACTTCGCAAACCCCGACGGCAGTGAGTGCCCCATATAAGTAGGCAAAGTATGGTCACCGTGTCAACAGCGACGGCCCAACAGGAAGATGCACGCCAGTACAAACTGTACAATTGTCAACTGCCGATGCATCTGACAAAAACGTTTCAGTCCAAATCTGCAGAAGGTAGTCCCATCCTAGTGTCATCATGCCCTAAGCTAGTGTAATCACGCCCTAGGCTGAGTAGGCTCTGCATCTCCTCTGCATAGAGCGCTTAACTATGCCGACTGAAGCTGAGCTGGTCTTGTGTGCACAGCATGAATGTGGTTCCGCAAACTTAGAGATGAGCTCACCAAGAAAGTGACTGCAGATCAATCGCGAGCTCTTTCCACGATTTGGCAACCGCGATTCTCGTGTTTACCATGTTGAGGCTGAAGGCGGTAGTTTATTGAGAGTTCACGGAGGTGCGTCGTGGAGGTGGACAAATGACACTGATGATGGTGGGTGTCATGGGTAGCGATCAAAGGAGCCCACCTGATGTTGCAAAGAATGTCCTTCTAGCAAAAAACGTTCGAAATATTGCCGTAGGCTCATAGCAATCTGCCATGATTAATACAAGACGAAACTTGTGGATCCAGAAAAGGAGCAGCTAATCGCCCCCCCTCCTCTCTCTCTCTCTCTCTCTCTCTCTCTCTCTCTCTCTCTCTCTCTCTCTCTCTC